ATTTTGGTTTGTTATTGTATTATAAGAAGCATTATCAATGCCCATTTAGCTACTACTTGCTAGCTTGGACAAAATATAACTGCAATAATTACTATGGTATTCTGATAGGTATGTGTATGGATACTTTGACATTACTTTTGAGCTATGCATACTTTTGAATTACTACACAAAATATTTTTCTCCTTTGTTTTTTTTCTTTTTCTTTTGTTATTTCATCTGGAAATTGTCCACTTATTGTATGTGTAAATTGAAAAATAAATAAAAAAAAATATTTTACAAACTTGAAGAGATGAGATTTTACCTATAGCAAGGGAAATGATTCTTTACAGTAAGAACAATATAGATGTTGGATTATCTACTTAAATATTTTGTTTTATGAATTAGGGGAGAGAGTCTGCACTCACCTCAACATGCATAAATGGGGTGCTGCTGGGGGGCCAAATTATACAACACATATAATACACAAGATCCAGCGCACTCACCTATCCACTAAACAGCAACTTCAATGTTGACAGATTTTATTAGTTTTTTTTTAAAAAACACCTAATCTAGGCAAAAATAATGGGGTTTAGTTACAGTATGTGATCATACATTGCATAACCCTGCCCCATATCAATGTACCCCATCTTTGGCAGGTCCTACACTAACAGCCTAATGTCTGCTCTTATGAGATTAGCCCTCTTACTTGGGGGGGGAACATTCCATCTGGGGCTCTCTGCAGTACAAGGCTAAATAGGGCCCTGGGATGAGGCACCTGTGACAGGAAGATTTTGTTTTATCAGATGCTGTACAGATTTTCTTAGAAGAACACAGTATTCAAGGAGAAATCTGACAACCACTTTGAAGTCAAAGAAGCATTTTTTTTCCAGTTTGATTTTAATTTCCAATATAGTTTTTGCCTTCTTTTACATTAACAATAGTAATACGGATATGTCAAAGGCTGAACTCGAGTACCAATAATCTTTTATCAGCCCTTATTACTCTTTATGTCTCTTGCAATTGTGTCTTTAATCTTATCTATATATTCCAGTCATATTATATAAACCACCCCAGAAACTAACAGACCCAGAAAAGGCCTTGTATTCAAGGTAACATTTGAT